AAGGCGGAGACACCTGCGCAGGGGGCCGCACCCCTGCCAGCCTGTGCCCCTCCTGCTCCGACCGCGCACCGAGCGCAGCAGGAGTTCTTCCCGTGCCCGGGACAGCCGGGAGCCTAAGTCGAGGAGGGAAGAGAAGCTGCAGGGAGCAAGTCTGCGGCAAAGCACAGCCCCCCCTCTGCCTCCAGAGCATGTGGAAAAGCTGTTTTAAGCACTGGTGGAAGCGGGGGCCGAAAAGAGATAGACTTCATAACTACAGGCGAGCACTTAGGCTGTAATTTAAAACTGTCAACAAGCTAATCTTCGGTAATTGCTTAAAGTGACTCTGCCTTCTTGAGACGTTTTATGTGATTTGATAAGAATTTAATTTTAAAACTCAGCATTGCAACCTCAGAGTCGCCCCGCTTTACTTTACTTACAGTATAAGTTTTCGACGGGTACATCAGAGACGTCTAGCTTTAGAAAGGGGCACGTCTCTGAGGCAAACTAGGCTGGACAATGCAAGGCTGGCCGGCGCTATTGCTGTGCAAGTAACCGTAACTCGAAAGGTTGTTTACAAACACAGCTATGTTTAAACGGGCTCGTTTCCCGCTTCTGAGAGGCTTTCAAGTGACATATCTATATATACGGAGAAATAATCCCGGAGCTGATCGTAACAGAATTTCAGAAAGATTTTGTGTCCTCCCTGTAGCGGATTTGTGCTTGTCTTCGAGAGACATATTGTGTTTGCAGGTACAATACTGTTAGATTTGAAGCCTTCGTATTGTCCTAATGGCATTTGCTGATTTATTGTTATAATCAGAAAAGTCGGAACTCGACTATACAAAAGCGATCACTTCTGAACATTACCTAACCAAAGCTTTAGAGAAAGAAAGGAAGGAAGAAAGGATGAAAAAAAAAAAAAAAAAAAAAAAAAAAAAAAAAGAAAAAGAAAAGGGGGGGGGAAGGGAAGGAGTGTTTTTTTCCTCGACTGGGTCAAATTACATCTAGATAACTACAGCTACATAATACACAGAAGAATAGAAGAATCACACGAATACTTTTAGCTCTTTATGTGAATACCCTTAGATTTGCATTTCCTGGCGGTTTACACGAGTTGCTAGGCTTGTTCCCCTTTTAAAGAATTGGCGAAACATCATTAATATTTTTAAAGTATTAATTAAATGTCGACTTAAGTTCACCTAGTCCCTCCACTTCTTAGGACAGACCTCTGTCTTCCGAGGTCTGGAATATGGGGCTCTCACAAGAACTTCCTCCACGGTCACGGTGCAGCGGATTTGGCTTGTTTTGCTTTGATTTGGAAGCATCAAACTGCCTGGAGCTGCTGCACATTACCATGGCCTCTGGGTAAATTAAGCTAGTTTCCGTATACAAGAGCCAGGCCAGAATTCTATCGTTAATTCAATAAGTATTTTTCACTAATTTTCAAGCAAAAGAATTTATTATTTTCTCAGGAAATAAATACTTAAAGCCCTCCCCCTGCTTTTCTAGCGCACAGCACACCTTAGCGAACTCGCCCACCCCTGTCAAGTATCCTGCAGGTTCGAGCTTCTGTCATTAAGGAGTTTAGGGGGGTGGTTTGTTTTTGCAAATTAATGCTTGAATGGCTTTTGAAAGAGGTTTCATCCCCCCCGCCCCCCGCCTCCCCCAGCCCCACCAGCTTAGATTCATAGCCTCTGCAGACTCCTTGCTTCCTACTCATGGGGATAATGTTCCTCCCTTCCCTTACAGCAGAACCTATCTCTGCTAGACAGCCAGCTTTGCGACCCCACGTCCACAAGCAGCCCGAGAAAACCACCCGAGTCCGGACTGTCCTTAACGAAAAACAGCTTCACACCTTGAGGACCTGCTACGCTGCCAACCCCAGACCTGACGCCCTCATGAAAGAGCAACTGGTAGAAATGACTGGCCTCAGCCCGAGGGTCATCAGGGTTTGGTTTCAAAACAAGCGATGCAAGGACAAAAAAAGGAGCATTATGATGAAGCAGCTTCAGCAGCAGCAACCCAATGACAAAACTGTAAGTGGCTTCAGCCCCTGACCGTGCGCTGCCTTCCTTCCCAAGGAGAAACGCCTAGGCTGTGCCCAGCACGGCCAGCCTCTGCCGTCGGTCCGACGCTTTTGATTTTGTGAGAGCTCCCTTTAAAAAAAAGGAGAATGATACAGTTTAACTATTATCCACTTATTTCTGCTGTCAGTGCAGTTAAAACATACCACAGTGAGAAACCGATACAGACTGCTCAAGAGAAAACAATTATTTTTGTGGGGCTAAGGATATGCAGTGGATTAGAGTAACTTCTCTGCTGCATGAATTGTGACCCGCAGAGTTTACGGCATGTCATAAGCCCAGCATTGTGTAATATTTATATTGCAAATGCCAAGAACTCCTTGAGGGGAAAATGACACTTTCGCCCTCTTCAATGATTTTTACACAGGAGTAAAACCAGAAGTAAAACCCATGAGCAAAAGGGAAAATTAATGTATTTTCTTAGTGCTTTATTTACTAAAATGTGTATGTGTTTGTCAGAGCTCTTACTGTGGGAGAAGATAAATACAATGCAATGCTTTTGGAATTACTATAGTGTTTGAAGATTATTTAAAATATATACTGTTCTGGCGAAGAAATATATTGGGTTTTTATCTGCAGGCATAGGCACGTGTGATGCAAACAAGCGGAAAGCGATTCAGCAGATCAAACTGGCTGTCTCCATTTTAAGCCAACTACTTTATTTTTATTTTTTTTTCTGTTGTTGTTAATCCACTTGAAGAAGAGTCTATTATTCTCCCTGTGTATATTGACTGACCTGAGAATGACTATTAATTCATAAGGCTGCCTAGTTAAGTGGAATTTAAGGAGTTTCAGTTTACCCTGTTGGAATGCAATAAACCACGATGTTATTAACTCTCCTGAACAATCTGTTTGTCGAGGCTTGGAGTTATTTTGCACACAGTGCCTGCATGCACCACAGGGTGTACTGAGAGGGATGGTCTTTTTTTTTTTTTTTTTTTTTTTTTTTTTTTTTTTTTTAAGGCCGTGGTGCTGACGTACCCCAGGTTTGCTGTGCGGTGGATATACGATCCAGTTAAGGTCACACAGAACAAAACCAGCCTGGATGCGACTTAGAAAGGCAGCATGATTAGCCGTTTCTTGTGCCGAATCGTGCATCGGCAGCCAAGATACAGAGGGTTCGTATAAGAAAGCTTGGGTTATACGTTTAGAGAAATAGGAGGATTAAAGAGAAAAAAAGTAAACTTCCACTGTGGTAAATGCAGCAGGTAGAAATAGGCCGACCTAGAGTAGAATAGAGTAAGACATTCACAGCAGATTAACAAAGCAAATACAAGTGACTGTATAGATAAGATAGAAAGCAGTTTATTGACTCAGCGCTTATATACAATAAAGTTAACCAAGCTCATTAACATCTTGTGCTTTGCTGTTTACAGAATATCCAGGGGATGACAGGAACTCCGATGGTGGCTGCTAGTCCGGAGAGACATGACGGTGGTCTACAGGCGAACCCGGTGGAGGTGCAGAGTTACCAGCCGCCCTGGAAAGTACTGAGTGACTTCGCATTGCAGAGTGACATAGACCAACCTGCTTTTCAGCAACTAGTAAGTGTCGGTTCCCAGCCGGAACAGGCCAGCCTGTACCCGGGGCAGAGCAGTGGGGGATTCTCTAAACGTGCCGGATGCCCTTAGAGAGATGAGCAATCTAGCCGGGTGTTCCTGAAATGGCAAGGTGGGCGTGATGACACTGTAAATGCGGCGAACTGAACTGATTTAACAGGGCATGATGCAAAACCTACCTTAGTGCACAGTGGAGCTCTTGCCGAGTTGAGTGGGAGCTGGATAAAGCCGGACGCAGGTCTTAGATTAACTCAGCTCTCACACTCCCGAAAACTGAAAGCATCTCTGTCCATAGAACTAAAACATTCTTGTCATTTAAATGCACGTACAGTCGTGAAAGCAGTTTCTAAAATTCTCACCTCCTCCCTTCTGGGCAGTTTTGCTTTTATGTGATAGAGTAGACTTTAAATATATTATTGTAATGTCAGCTTGTGCCCTTGTTTTGTCACACAGCTATGAATAGCTTAATTACATTTTTTAGCTCCTTGTTTTAAGCATGTACCTCTAGATATAACTTTATATATCTGAATGTACATATATACACGGAGATATATACACATATATATCTTACATTAAATGTTGTCCTTTGGAAAGGGAGTCGTTAGTAGGTATTCATACGAAAAATTCAAAATATATAATAAACTGCCTTAAGCCGAAAGAAAACAGACCTTTTAGAGTAAATTCTGTTCTTAACTCACTTCCTTATGCCTACGTCATTTGGCAGCTCATATGAGACCATATAATCTACAGTATTTAGGCCCAACAAGGTGAATTAAGGACAGAAGTTCAGCCTTAACTCAATTTCGTGGCCTAAGTGTGTTAAAACCAGACCTTTAAAATAATAAGGTATGTTATGTATAGTTTTTCAGTGGTTCAAAAGAATACTCAGTGATGAAAATTAACATAAAGAGCATTTTTTTTTTGTATGTTGGGCACTTTTTTCGACATGAAGCAATGGAAGATGATGGTTTGCAGCCATGTTTAGGATTTTTTCCAGACTTTTTCAGTTTAGTATCACACTTTTTTGCAGGATTGCTTTTCTTTTGCCTAGTGGCAAGTTGCAGCGTGCTTCCCTCCCTTGCCAAACCGTGGTTGCTTGGGAAGCTGCTACAGGAGCAGGGCTGTTTGCATCATCTTACCTCTAGACCAACCGCCGGTTTTCCAGCTTTAAATAATCTGTGAAGCAGACGCAAGAAAAATGTATCTCCTTCGGCTGCCTTACTTATTGTGCCTTAACAGTATAAGAGATTTTAAAAACCTTTGATGCAGTGAGTTTTTCTAGGGGAAAAGCAAAAAAAAAAAAGCAGGATGGAAGATGGATAGCCTGGATAGCCCAAATACACATATACACTAGCTAGTTTAATATTTATATATATGGGACATAATATCTAATACTGAAAAGAGTTAAGATAAGGAATTGTGGATGGAACAGACAGTTCATCGACCGTAAAGGCACGTCTCTAATCTGCAAAGGGCCTTAATCACAGGATCACCTAGATAATAGGTGCCAAAGAAATGCTTTTGGATTAGCAAAACTCCACCCTTCAAATCTGTCTTTTCCCAACGCTCTTCTTTTTAACGGGAGCCGCGGGGCACATTAGGATGGAGAAGTGTGACCTTTTTTATCAAACCGATTCTCGTCAGAAAGAGATAGCATCCGCGTCACATCACAAATGAAAGAGGATGGCTTGTTTCAAATGCCTTCTGCTCCTGGATGCTCCTTCCAGTTTTATTTTAGTATGTGCATGAAAGGAAAAAAAACCCTAACCTTGCAGTTTCGTACAGAAAAAACAACACATGCACTCTTAAATAATTGACTAGAACACCCTGTTAGGATTGCCACTCATGCAAGACAGGAAAGAAGGTCTCATTAATAAGTTTGTATGTGTGCTTTTCCAGTTTGTTTGGGGTTTTTTTGTGTTGTTGTTTTTTTTAAGGTTGTTGATTTTGGTTTTTATTTTCGTTGGGGTATTTTTGGTTGGTTGGTTTGTTGATTTGGTTTTTTGGTGTTTTTTTTTTTGTTGTGTGGGGGTTTTTTTGTGTGTGGGTTTATTTTGGTGTTTGGTTTTTTTGTTTTGTTTTGTTTGTTTTTTTTTTAACCTGCTTTTTTCAGTGATATGGCCGAGGACCTAAAGAACATTTCTGTGAAATCGGTGGGAAGCTAAACAAAGCAACAAACAGTGACACAGTTTCCCATGGAGATGTATCAGGTCATTCGGCTGCATGCCTATGTATTTATTTTTGCATCTTCTTTGTCTTTGCCTGCTACTTTTCTTTGATTGTTACAGTCGTAACAACACTTCTTTTTCTTAGTGTTCTTCTTTTTTTTTTCTTTTTTTTTTTCTTTTTTCTTTTTTTTTTTTTTTTGGCAGGTTAATTTTTCAGAAGGAGGACCCGGTTCCAATTCTACTGGAAGTGAAGTAGCATCAATGTCCTCTCAGCTGCCAGATACGCCCAACAGCATGGTAGCCAGTCCTATTGAGGCATGAGGAACATTCATTTCTGTTGTTTCTGCCCTTACCCTCAATCTTGCTCGAGAGAGTGGGAAAGTGATCACGTTGGGACTCCGAAATTTAGGGGGAAAAAGTATTTAACAATCCTATAATTAACCTAGCAAGGAACTGCTCCATGAAATGAACGGAGTCATGTTTGAAAAGACAAGGTAATATGGTAGCAACACTGTGAAGACAATCATGGGATCTTACTAGAATAAATACTAAAACAAACAAACAAACAAAAACAAAACAAAAAAAACACAAAAAAGAAACTACAAAAAACCACAAAAAAACCCAACAAAAACCACAAAACGCAAACTAAAAACAAACAAAAGCAAAAAACAAACAAACAAACAAAAACAACAAAGAAAAAAATCACAAACCACAAAAGAAGGCAAAACAAAACCAAAAAATAACAAGCAACAAAGCCTGCGCTATTCAGTGATCAGAGAAGGATCGAAAAGGCGTTTTCAAAACTTAAAGGATTTGTATTCGTGGATCTCAAAAAAAAAAAAAATTAAAAAAAATCTTTCATTTGACTGCACATCTTAGGGAGAAACCAAGGTAGAGGGACTTTCTACCCAGTCCCTCCTAATACGAATGGTGCTGTTTCTATATTGGGGATAAGCCTTGCCAAAAGGAGCTCCACTAAGTTTTCCGTCATCAGGAAAGAGACGATTTAGCCCTGCATTGTTGAAAGATTCATGCAGGAAGGTGGAGCTGCATTGGTCTGCAATGTTGTTTTTAGTTGACTCTTAACTCTTAAGGGGATGTTTCTTGGGTCTCTTCTAGCATGTACTGTAGCGCGGTTTTGATTTTGTTTGGTTGAGATCCACCCTTTATCAAGTCTGAAGCGATTAAAAATACATGTTTGAACTGCTCTTAAAAAAAAAAAAAAAAAAAAAAAATTATAAAAGCATTGCAACAAGGTATACCTCTATTTTGCCACAAAGCGTGTCGGGATTGTGTTTGAAATGTGTCTGTCCCCTCCCCCAAAGATATGTATAGTCATTGGTTAAAACGACTGTTTTCTTCTTTCTCTTTCTCTTTCTCTTTCTCTTTCTCTTTCTCTTTCTCTTTCTCTTTCTCTTTCTCTTTCTCTCTCTCTCTCTCTCTCTCTCTCTTTCTCTCGCTCGCTCTTGCTCTTTCTCCTTCTCTTTCTTGAAATAAGGAGAAAAAAGGAAAAAAAAGTAAAAGTAAAAAGAAAAAAACACAACCTTTTTGTTTGCTCTTGCATTGCAAAATTTTAAAGTAATTTATTATTTATTATCGGAAGACTTGCCACTTTTCATGTCATTTAACTATTTTTTGTTTGCTGAAGTAAAAGAAAAAAAAAGAAAAAAAAAAGAAAAAAAAGAAAAAATGTACCGTGGTCTTTGAATTATATGTCTAATTCTATGTGATTTTCGTCTTTTTTTTTTTTTTTTTTTTTCCTTAAATATTATGTGAAATAAAAGCGCCATATGTAGAATTATTATATCTTCAGGACTATTTCACTAATTAAGCGTTTGGAATAGAGAAAATAATAATGAACAAAGTTCCCTCTTTTAAGTATTTACAAGTTAGCAGCTAAAATACCTGAAATAAAATATTGCATGCAAAGCAGGTCGTTAGTGAATAAAACAAGTGTGATATTTTATTGCAAGTATTAACGACCAGCTTGTAAATTTCCGTTTCAACAACTGTATCAGGGCTAGTTGGATGCCTTAGCTTTCAATCGATAACTTTAGAAACTCTCTTGTTCCCACTCCCCCATCCCTTGCCCTTAAACATGATATTACTCTAGGCATGATCTGAAATAACGTTAAGACATCTAAAGAACTGGGAGCTCAGGCTTTTTGCTGAGTTCTATTATTTTTTAAAAATAATAAAAGAAAGTGCTGTATACCAAAGCCTCGTTGTTGAGATTGTTGAAGTGACCTGTACTTTAAGTATAAGCTCCTGATAAAAGGGACTCTTTGCTTAACAAGTCAAGTATGACCATTATTTATCAGTGTCTGCTGTCAAAACGGTTGAAAAATGCTGCAGGAGGAATAGGTTTTGGGGATATTGCTGTGAAATTGCACGAATGTTGTTCCTTCATTTCTGTCGAATTCTCTTCACTCCCTCTTTTCTTCCTTTTTTTTTCATTTGCGGGGGAGAGGGTGGTGAAAGCTAGAAACGTGGGCTATTTCTTGGGGAAAAGAAGAAGAAGAAGAAAAAAAACAACATAGGAAAGTGTTGGTTTTGCTCCGATCCAAGTCCTCCCGGCCAGCACAGGACAAAGGTTCGCTTTAAAATTTCCCTAACAACTGGAATATACGGAGATTTTTAGTCTGACGAAGAAGTTGGTTTGCATGACAGTTACTCATACCCCTAATGTTTTCTTAACATAACTTTCTTTTTCCTCCCTCCTCACCATCTTAGCCCACCCTGAGCAAGCTCAGCTATAAAGACAACCCATTTCGACAGTATAGAGAACATTAAAAAACGGTTAAAAGTCTAATACAAGGATTCCAATAATCCTGATTATAAACTGGATTCATTTTGTATGCTTAAGTGTAATACATTTTTGAGTACTTGATAAATATTTAAATAAATATGAAATCTACCTTAAACTGTGTGACCCGTAACCCTTGTGTTTTCATACAGGATCAGAGGCTTGGTACGACGCTTCGGGGGGGCGGGAGGGAGAAAGGGTGTCATTTCTGCACCATGGCCTAATGTGTAAGTTTTTTGAGTCGCTCTTACGGGTCGGGATGGGTGGGCGAAATGGGGATTCCGAAGGTCGAGTGTCCGACTCAGGGGCGCCTTTCAATTGCGCTGAAAACCTGTAAGGTCAGGACAAGACGGAGGCCTTCGCGTTCGCCTTTCACTGCCTGGCACCTATCGTGTAGGTGGGAAGTGCGGCCACTCCGCGGGGAGAGGCGCAGGGGACCCCC